ACTGTTCCTAGCACTGCACTCTTCTGGACAGAGATCTCTGATGTTGTTCCTGGGATCTGTTAGAGCCATTCCCATCTCCCAGCTTAGGAGTCACAGCCCTGAGTGCTTCTACCACCATGGGGACCACTTTGGCCTTTACTTTCCACATCCCCTCTAGTTCCTCCTTCAGGCCCTGATACTTCTCCAGCTTCTCATGCTCCTTCCTGATGTTGCTGTCACTTAACACTGCTATATCTATCATCACTGCTGTATTCCAGTCCTTGTCTACTGATTGGCCAGTACCTGCTTGTCTGTTTGGATCTGGAAGTCCCACAGGATCTTAGTTCTGTTATTCTCCATGACCTGTGGAATCTCCCATCTGAACTTGGGAGGGTCTAGCCCATACATTGTGCAGACGTTCCTGTACACAATGCTGGCTCCTTGGTTGTGCTGTTCAGTGTATGCTGCTCCTGCCTGCATCTTACACCCTGCTGCTATGAGTTGGACTGTCTCAGGCCGCTCTGCACAGTCTGCCCCTTGGGTCCTGTCTAGTGTGGTAGATCCCTGCTTCTATGGATCTGGTGCTTAGTGCCTGTTCTTATGCTGCTATGACCAGTGCCTCAGTGCTGCCTTTTAGTCCAGCCCTTTCCAGCCACTGGTAGGATTTCCCATGTCAGCCACCTCAGCTCGCTCTCCATGGTACATCCCGTGCAGGGTCTTGTCTAGCCATGGCACTTCCTCTTCTTGAACTTTTCCCATGTCTGCTGCTGCCTGAGGCCTTCTCTCAGCAGCTCATCTTTGGGTGCCATCTTAGTGATGTACTCCTGGATGTTCTGGGTTTCATCCAGGACAGTGGCTTTGACACTCATTGGACCCCACCTGCTCTCTTTGCGGCTGATTACAGTCTCTGGGTGTTGGACTTGAGGTGGAAACCTCTGTACATCATGAGGAGCTTCCAGGTCTATATATATATATATATACCCCCCCCCCCGTGTTTACCCCCAGGGCTTTTAAATTGATGGCTTGAATGTTCCATTACTTGATTTGATCAGCCCATCTAAATGACTCTTCTACTCAGTCTTAGCTTTTCAGGAGATTTTCCTGTATGTTGCCAAGTGTTATGAATTTCAAGCCAACACTGCTGGGCAGGATCCGTTAACTTTTGTTGTTGTTAAGAGTCAGTAATGTTTTTTTAATTGGCTTCTGTGCAGATCTGTAACATGCCTAGATTTGCTTGTCAACTCCATCGAAGTAGATGATTGTTATTGAAATTTGTTACTGTATCAGAAAGAAATTTCTGTTGACCGGAGTCACTTGAAGTTTTTTGCTATTATCTGCTGCAAAGGTAAATACCTTTTCTGGTTGGTAGTTTGACTTGGTTTTCTAGTCCTTCGTAAGGCTACAGCCTTCAGGAAGTTTACAAAATCCCATGAAACTTGAATTCATGTCCATCTTAATGAGAATTAGGGATGTAATTACAGAACTGGAAGGGTTATTGATTTTTAATTAGCAGTGTAGCTATAGTGTTACTGGCAGATACTGGCAGGCCAATTCCATGCTGTGAAAATATTCTCAGATTACAAATACAGCAAGCAGAAAACAATCTTGGCCAAGAATTATTCTTGGCCATGTAAGATTCTAGAAGGAACATATATACATATTCTCACCTTTACCTTCCCATTGCTTAGTTAAGTACAGCATTTAGAGCTAACTGAACTAACAATCAGAGCGTGCCTTGCTTGCCCCTTCCTTCCCTCTAATCTGAGGGAGTTCTGTGCCTGGAGTATTTGGACATTTTTCTGTCACTGATATTTTTATCCAGCAAGTGAAATATATTAAAATGTTAAATTTTAAAATTTTAATTAATTTTTAAAATGTAGTAAGAAGTTCAGCAACTTAATGCTTGAAGTGTATGATTGTTTTCTCCTTGGCCCACTAAAATGGGTTCAGGGAGATACAGTCCTACCTTGTTTTTCAACTCAGTTTGATATGTTACAAGCTTCTGTATTTAGCCAAAATAATCTGCAATAAAAAGAGAAGCAGGAATGATCACCGAGGCTCCTGTAGCTCCTCTGCCAATTTTTTTGTACAATTCTATAATTTATTACTTCTACTTTCTTGCTGAAATGCTTCTATTGGATACAACTGTTGACCGTCTTGCTGGATTTCCCAGACCAGTCTCCTTCTCCCCATCAGCCTTTGCTCACTTTTCTCTTCCATGTGAAAGCAGCAGCAAAAATAACAGGCAAAGGCTCCACTCAGCATGGAGAGATTTATCTCAATTTTTCCAGCCAGGGTGAAATGGATCATAGTTTTCCTCATCTCCCATGAATGTGTTCTAACTTATTTCCATAGCATTCCACAGTGTGCCAGGGGTGATGGGTCTGTGTAAGCAACAGAGAGATATCAGTTCCTGGGGTAGGCAAACCCCTCTTTTCTCATCATCACCCTCCAGTAATGTAGGTTTGAGCCCTACTTATTGACGTGTTGCTGAAATAAGGGGGTAGCAACAAATGGATGCTGGATCACCTTGATGAGCATCCAGAGTGTCACTGGAGGAACTGCTGAACCAGGAAGACCCACAGAGACAGTCCATTGGTCCTTCTTGCCTAGTACTGTCGATATTGATTGGTTGTGCCTCCCAGATGTCCATGCAGAGTTTTTCAGGCCGCATTTGGAGATGCTGGGACTTGAACATGCCACTTCTCTATGCAAAGCCTGTTTTCTCTCTCTCAGTTGTATTCCTCAGTCTTGCACCCTGCTTGCTGGAAGGAAGACTTAAAATACTTCATGGCCTCTGGGATGATCTCCTAGAGATCTTAGAAAGTGGCCAAGTTGTTATTCAAAAACATATGTTTACTCCTTGGATTCTCTCTCTGCTATTTTAAGACAAGCACCATATCAAAACTTCTGTGAAAAGTGTGAAATCTGGTTGCTAGTGTATTCTGGTCAGCACTTTAGTTCAAGAGATGTGCGTCAGCTCACTATAAAGCAAAATTAGAAATGGATTCTTTAAGCATCGCTCTTCCGAAGGATAGAGTTGTGTTGTTTTTTAAGTTGCAGCAATGTGGTCTAGAAAATAATCAGCAGAAAACCGAAACATTTTCCCTTTATATATTTTCTTGTGGAATATTTTCCAGTTTGAGCAATGCTTTTCTCAGAAGATAAAATTAATCCATCGAATACACGCAAAATTTATTCCACTGACTCTGCTGGACGTCGTCCTTCCTAGGCGTAGCTTGGGACTGCGTTGCATCATGCAAGTCTATGTTGCAGTGAAGCTGGAGCTGGCGTGAAGAAAGAGAACAATTTCAAAGTCTTGCAGAGACAAGTTTGCATAACCCCCATCCCCCACCCCCATCCCTGGGAAATTGGATCATTGGCACACAGTTTATACAGCCAATTGCCTGCTACATTGGTGGCCTGTGAATAAACATGGCATGGAAGGCTGAAAAAAACAGACCCCAGGACATTCTTCCCCACCCTTTCTTGCATAGAAGAATGTTGGGCAATAAAAAGAAATGCGATCACTAGAAAAGGTTTGGCTTGATGCGACTCTATCTCCTGTGGTGTGAAAAACAGAAGGGAGAGGTTGTCCAGAGGAAAAAAGTAGCTAAGGAAAGGATGAAATCTTCCAAACTTTTGCTTCTACTGGCTGAGTTCACCTACTGCATTATGTCATGGCTTTGAATAAGCCACAATTTGTTGAGTTCACACATCATTCTAAGTCAAACACCAAGCATAGCCATTGTGCAAGACCCATCTTCCCCACTCTGGGAATGTTTCAGCTGTGTAGATTTCAGTGTATAGTCTTCCCCGGCCGGCATGCCCATTGCTGAGAATTTGGGCAGTTGAAATTGGTGTAGCTGGACACCATCTAACCACACCAACTTCAACTGCCCAAGTTTGGAAAAGCTGCAGGAAATGCAGACCAGACAAGCAGCAGCATAGATCGCCATCCATGATCTGCCTTCTCCCATCTTACTCTTCAGTGCCAAGCCAGAAGAACAGTGTTAGAAAACAAATAACTAGTCCTATCCTTAGATGTGACTTTGCCTCATACCCCATACATAGTTAACCCTCTCTGAATCATAAAACATCTGGGTTTGCTAAGTTCAGGAGTGTCTACAAAGGAGGTAAAATAGTCAAGATGGTGGCCACAGCCATGCAATCAAAGCCCCAATCTTTTTTACATCCATTGAGGAATGTCCACAGAGGGGTCAAAAAGGTCGATGTGGTGGCCATCACCATGCAATCATGGCTCCACCCTTTTTACATGCTACACACACACAAACCTAACCCAGGTTTATACTAGCCAGGCTGAGCACACTGTATGAATGCAACTGACCTGGTTAAGTGTATGGTTCCAATAGAAGAGATGCTGGGTGCAAAAAGCAGCAAAATGTTGAGAGGGCAAAACTGAGTGTCTCTCCAGAGCCAGTAGATGCTGCTGTTCCACTACTAGTATTAGAAGCAGAGCCACCTGAACATGATGGTGATGGTCTTTTATTTAACACATGCATTCATTTGTTTAAATAAAGCATTTTCATCCTGCGAATTAGCCACAAAAGATGTCCGAAGCATCTTCCAGAACTGAGTACCAAGTCAATCCCAGATGATCAC